TTTTCTTATTAGAGAAAACTGACCCACCATCGATGAAGTTACCTTTTAAAGCCAACACAATTTGATCGTGAATACCAAGATCAATGACCCGGCCAACCTTTTCATTCGCCATCCAAGGATCAGGATCAGGATCAGCACGAATTCCATCTTCAGTATTGCTGCCCCATTATAAAATAAATGCAACATTGCATGAATTTCCATCAAATTTGGACATATTGAAAGGCATACAAAGCCATCTAATGTTATTCCTAGTGGCATCAACTTCCTTGGTATTTAATGCCTTGTCGGAAGAGTGTGACCCATAACCTATAATTGTAGTCATCTTAATCAAAATGGGTTTGGCAGTACCAATATCATTAGAATCTATTTTACCATCCCTTCCCCAAAAAACATACCACCCAATATCTTCAAAGAAAACAATCGACTTTCCATGTCCCGAACACCCTACTGTATTCTCTTTAGTTGTTCTATTCATACTAATTGGAATGTTCCGAAGTATTCTTGCATCAACCACATCTTCAATATTAGAAACTACGTCAGTTTCCAATTTAGACACTACACGCCTTTCTTTTTTCAATTTGGAAGCTGCCAACTGATCCTGCCAAGACTCTTTATCATTGAGGTCTCCCACTTCAATTAGATCTCCATTAAACACCAAACCGTGATGGCCATCTTCATCCTCTTACAAGTTATGATCATCAGTATCTTTGAAAATTGGGTCTACATGATTACTTGGCTTGCAGCTATCCTTAGGCTTCACATTGGACAAGTCAATGCAATTGTCCTTGTCATCATATTCTTTCACTTCGACCTCACCCAAACCACCAGTTAGCTCTTCTAAGGTGGTCATTGAAGCTGTGTTTTTAGAAGCCTTTTCAAGTATTCCCGTTGCGACTAGCGTGTGGAAAACTTCATCATCCTCAACTACAGTACGTGTAGCAATAAAATTTCGTTCACAATTAATCTCATCAAAAACACTTGTTGCTTTAACAAAATTTTGATTATTCTTGATGTCACTATCTTTCTTGTAAATTCTCTATAGAATTTTTGACAGATGGACTCTCTTTCCGACAATTCCAATATTTTTGAAACATCAACTCCTCATAATTTGATGGTAGAAATTTAGCCATGAACATCCGTTTAATCTTGTACCATGACCCAACAGGATGTGATCCTTCCCTCCTTCGATGAAACTATATTTGTTCCCACCAAATCGAAGCCGATCCTATAAGCTTGAAGGCAACAAGCAGAACTAGCTTGTTTTCAGGTACATCAAAATATTCGAAAAATTCTTCAACTTCTTCAATCCAGTCTAAGACATCTTCAATGATAAAACTTCCATTGAAAGTAAGTAGACCAAGTTTTACCTGAAATTCACGATTGTTATGTCTACCTCAATCACGGAATATGCATTCCGCATCATCTGAAGAATTATCGAAATAATCCGCATAGGCTGGAGGCCTACGTGGATAAACAGGAACATAACCCATGCTCAGTTGGCTGCAAGACACATCATCAGCGCGAACATGAACTAAACCACGAACCTTGTTGCCACCAATTCCAAAACCAGTTGCTACGAACCGATCTTGAGTATGCATGGCTGCCCAAGGGGCCTTCACTCTGTGATCATCGTCGACAAAGTGGGTGCTACCAAAACGAGCAATCGTCATCAGACCAGGGTATGACAAGGCTCTGATACCAACTGTTAAGCGGAAGCGACAAGACGTTCACATGGAACAAGGGTACCTTGAATCCACAAGGTGGTAACTTTGAATCCACAAAGTTGAATAAAAATTGCAAAGCAATTAAAATATTATTGATAAATTGAATGAATGAATTTCTCTACTATCACAGTATATGTTTTTATAATAGAGAAAACATAACACTAGAAGGAAACTAAAATCTAATCCTATAAGGAAACTAATTCCTAAAGGAAAATAAAAATACAAGGAAACAAAATTAAAAATATAAAGAAATTACCTAAAACTAAAAACTCTCTAAAAATATAAAATAAAAATAAACAAATAAACCTAATTAAAAAAATATTGAAATATGTCGTACATCATTTCCATAGTTGAATCAAGGCTGTTGAAGTTGAGATTTGCACAAGAATAAGGTCAATACGTAATTTGAACTTGTGAAACCCTAGTTCTTGAAGGTTCGGCAGAATTGAGCCTATATATGAGTTGTACCAGTGTATTCATGTTATATTCATCTTGATTATCATCTGAGCATGTCTGTAATGAATATACAAGGCTGCGGATTTCATCTCTGAGTTTGTGGGATGCAAAATTCCTATTTAACCTCTCAAACCCTAGTTTCAGCAGAATGAAGACAGGGTGTTTGTATTGATACATTGAGCTGATTATTCATTCTTATCTTGTGTAATAGCTTAAGTATTATTGTAATACATCTTTTTATATATATTTGGTGAGCTGTAAGAGCTTGCAGGGTCCAAGCAGGGTTGCTTAGGACAGGGGGAGTGCAGAGTGCTCTTGGTAATGTTAGTGTGTGTGTAGAGGCTGTGAAAGCTAGTGTTTCATCTTGTACAAGGGTGTGTGCAGAGAGTGAGATAGCTAAGTGTGTAACTACTTGCAGACAACTAGTGGAGGTTTAATTGGCTAAGGCCAAGAACCAAGGTTTTTCCCTATTGAGGGAGTTTTCCTTGTAAATGCACTGAGTACTTATAAGTGTGTGTAAACTTGTTGAATTTGTCATCATCTTTCTCACACTATATTGATCAAACAAAGAAGAAAAGTTTATACAAGAACGAATTCACACCCCCCCTACCTCTTGGTTCATCAGCTAGTAAGTGTGTGGATTCTAAGTTGAGTAGTGGTGTTTCGGGAGTTCTTTGTAAGCTTGATATTGAGAAAGCTTACGATCACGTTAGTTGGAGTTTTTTGCTTTATAAGATAGAGAGGCTGGGTTTCGGGGTGAAATGGAGGAGGTGGATCGAGTTCAGCATTTCGTCAGTGAGATTATTCAATTTTTCTCTTACTATCAATTGGACTAATTATTTTTATACCAACAATAATAATAATTTGACAAGAAATAAAAAAATAATCAATTGATTTTTGAAAAAAATGATAAGGAAACCGAAACAAGTCTCTCTATCATCGAATACAACAAGTAAGCTTTTTTTTTCTTTTTTTTTTTCTCTCTCTCCACTTTACGTATCACTATTTAGTTTTAAAAAGTAATTCTACATGTTAATCACAATCACTAAGCCAATAATGATGACAAAAAAATACAATAATAAAAGGAAATTGAAGAAACCAAAAATAGGAAATTGTATGACTGTTGTTAAGGAAGAGATTGGAAGCGTGCCACTCGCCCCCAATAGGTATTAGCCTAATTGGCTCTTCTCTTAAGAGTTGTTTTGTTTTTGGTCACTATAGCACATGTAAAAGGACTCCTCTCTTTCTCTCTAAAAACTCTCTCTATATTAAAGGGTTCCTTTCTTTCTCTCACTAGAAGCCCTCTTTCTCTCTCTAAACTCTCTCTATAGACTTTTTTTTGGTCATTATGTAACTCTTCCATGTACTTGACTGACGTTTTCGATGCCATATGCTTTTGTTGAGGAGATCGAGAGTGAACTTGATAGGTTCGGAAGATGACTTTTAGAGGATTAATTGGTAAATTGTTTTGGTTAAGTTTGGGGAAATTATTTTCCTCCGTAAAAGATTTTCTTTGAATTTGGGACTTCCAAACACCGAAAAACACAAAAAAATATTTTTCAGAAAATGTTTTACGCTCAAGCAAACGGAGCCTATGTGTCTCATGCTCTGGACTTTGTCAAAGAGATAGATAAATTATGTGTTCAGTGGTTCAAACACAAATACTTGAGGAAAGAATTGTTTTGAAAATTTTCTGCCTAACCACTATTCCCTCCATCCCACATATTAGTTGTCCATCTTTGGAAAATATGTAGAGAACCACTTCTCTAACACACAAACTTCAACTAAAAAGATTACCGTCTTCTGAGATGCATAAAAAAGCAACCACACAATCACCACACAAACCCCAGAAAGCAACAAAGTAGACCATACCAGAATCGCGAACGACGAAGAAAAAGCCGTTGTTGTAGAACCCCGCGAACACCAAAAAACACCGATCGAGACTACAATAGATAAAAAATAGGTCCGAAAAAACACCACTTCCTTGCATGTGGATGTGATTAACACTACTTCGTTGCAAACAGATCCCATCTTGGAATCTCTTCAAAACCCTTCACACCCACTAGGGTTTACACAAACTTGCCCTAGGGTTTCAACTACAAACCTAGAGCTTTACAAACCATGGTTTGATACCATGTTGACTTTAAGATATAATCAAATCAAGAGTAAGTGATAAAGGAGAAGAAGAAAAAAAGAAGAAACTGGATGAGAGGAAAAGAGAGAGAGATGGGGAAAGAGAGAAAGAATGAAAGAATACTTTCATCCTTCCACCACATTCTATTCATAATAACAAGTTTAAGAAATTACACATAAGCCCCAACATTATATAAGTAATAACAAATAAGCCCCTGACAACATTAATATCCAATAGCATCATTGCATCTAGACCATCTTTGTACTCTCTCCTCCTTTATGCATGCTTCAGCTAAACCCATTTACAAAACCATCCGTCCACACAACATTGTCAGAAACATGGATATCTTAGTGGTTTAAACCTAAGTGACCATAGTATATCCAATCATAGATGGAAAATGCTACGAAATAACTGCATCTCATCCAATTCTACTCAAATCATGTCAACTTCAATTGCATCAACTCCAACCTAGGTCATATTTTATACTCTAAACACCAGTGGCATCATGCAATTTATTTCATAGATTCTGGTAGCATGAAGTACAGATAACTTTATGAAAAGAAAAAAGTACAGATAATTTATCTCTCAACAATTCAAAAAAGTACTTCAATTGCTTAAAGAACAAGATATTTCCTTACACAAATAAAAAGTTCGTAGAACAAAGTACTAGCATCACAGAAAATTACCTTCAAACTAGAGATAAAGAGTGAGTCACTAAGAATTGAACTATTACTGGTAACCTCATCAGTCATAGAGCCAATCATTGTGTATAATGACAAATAAACCTGCATAATTCACATGAAAACAGTGAGTAATGCAAAGAAAATAATTCATTAAAAAAGAGAGATGAAAACAGACATATGATATAACTCGAAGGGATAGACCAGTCAAGTATCAAAATATCGTGTTCTGGAATTGTTTCACTGTTAGAACAATTGGAAAAACATTTGAGAATTCACATCTTTTAGTACGCACTTATATTATAAGTGAATGCTAGTACTTGTCTGTATCCATCACAAAGGTACTAATGCATTGCAAGATACATAATTCATACTAAATGAATCAAATGAGAATGCAGGATTGTTAATGCCAAGTCACAGTCACCTGTAAGAGAGCCGGTCTGTCTTTGCTCACACACTCAAACAACACTTGCAAGCAAAATTCCTGGAAATCAACATCAGATCTGCAAAGATGTTTGCTGAATAATTACTACAGAATACCTAACAAAGAAAATTACTACAGAGAGCCAGCTTTGTATTGAGTCAAGAATCAAATTTTCTCATGGAGAACAAGGATTATGATACTTCTATTTTTCAAACAAAAGAAAACAAGAAAAGAAAAAGAAAAAAGAAAAGAAAGATGATGCACAGTAAATCCCCTGTTGACTTTTCCATGTTAATCACAATCGAGTTATTAAGACTGCGTCACACCAATCAGCACCTTCATGGGGATTGTCTATAGGATTATTGCAACCATTCTGAACACAAGCAGCTTGCATTTATCCGCTCGGACTTGAAAGTATTATAGAATGCTTAAAGGAGAAAGATAAAATGACAACTTATCAAAAAAAAAAAATGACAAATTCCACACTCAACAGCAGCAAATTATGGAACATATTAATTTATAGATGCCCTTTTTGCCCTTTTTCTCTCAACAGCAGGCGATTTTAGGGTTAGGGTTTTTTGCATGCTTTTTTGGTGGCTGGGACGGAGACCACAGTGATGGACGAGGGTAATCCCTCCTCCCCTCACCCGCCGGCGGGGTCCACAAGCCGGATTTCTTCTCCCTCCACTTCTTGGAGTCGTTTCTTTAAGGAAACAACATCTGAGTTTCAAAATCTCAAATTTTATAGTCATGTACGTGGAAAGAAAATTTCGATTTCAGAGAATGATGTTGCAGACGAAATTAAGTTTTGGTCCTCTACTGTAGTAGGTTATGTGATGGGAAAGAAACCTTACTACCATTATTTTAAATAATATGTGGAGAAGTATTGGTCCAAAAATTTTCCACTGATGTATTTGAAGGATGGGTTCTTCTTAGTTCGTTTTCATGATGATACGGATGTGATGAAGGTGTTGTCCCGTATTCATACTTTTGAAGGAAGACCTATTAAAAATGTCAAACTTGGCTAAGGAGGTCTTGGAATCGGTCCAGTTATGGATGAGAATTTATGATCTTCCTGTCCATTGTAGAAAGGCGCATGTGGTGTCTATGATTTGTTTTTCTTTGCCAAGCCAATATATATGGATGATTCAGAAGATAAGACAGACAAAGGCAGATATTTGAGAGTGATGGTGGAGGTGGAGGTGGACGTTAAGGAAGAACTTCCTGATACGACGGTGGTGGATATACATGGTGCTGATTGTGAGCTCACATTGGAATATGAGTGGAAGCCTCAGCTATGTTCTACTTGTCAAAGAGTGGATCAAGTTAAAGACAGATGCCCTCAAAAGATTCTACTAGCCAAGCCAAAAAAGACAGTTGAAAAATGGATGGTGAAACATAAGGGAAAATTGGTGACTCAAGATGGAAGATAAGGTGTGTGAAGAATGTTCTCAATTGAAGACTGGGAATGTGCCTGCTGAAACTTCTTCAATTTCGAAGATTGGGAATATGCCTGCTGAAACTCTTACAACTTCGAATGCTTTCCAGTTATTGCAGACTATAGAGACTCAAGAAGAGGCTGAGGAAGAAGTTCTACAGACACAACAAGATGATACGGTTTATTATGAGGCTGAGCATAATGCACAGACACAGGTAGGAGTGGAACTTTCTGGTGGTGTGACTGTATCAAATCTTTTGGAGGTTGTTATTCCTACCACAACTGTGGATTTAGTTAAGGATTTGGATGCTCCTAGTATTCAAAGCAATGGGGTTTCTCCTGATTCTGATAGCATCAAGGTTGGTACTGAGGAACTTAATGCTGTTATTAGAGACTCTGATGCCATTTGTGGCAGCAGGGACTTAGAGAAGACTAAAGTGGTAGGAGTTGCTATTGATTCTAAAATTGCAGTAGAGGGTAAGGTTATAACTACATGTCAAAGTTTAACCCCGGGTGGGGGTAGACGAGACAATGACGGCAGCGACAAGGGAGGTCTTCCAGCCTCTGGTACAGATATTGATGATCCTTTACAAGACCAAACAGAAGCACAGAAGAAACCTAAGAAGAGGTACCAAGCTCCACCCTCTGATAGGGTTACTAGAGGTAAACAAGTTGGTGGTTCCTTACCAACTAAAGCTGTTATTTAATGTTTGGAGTCTGGAATGTTAGAGATCTCAATAGATCTAACATGCAGGCTGCTGTAAAGGCCTGGATGGGGGAGAACAAATTTTCCTTGGTGGCTCTGGTGGAGACTAGTGTTAGACAAGGCAAAGCTAGGAAAATCCAAAGAAGAATAAACTCTAGATGAGATTGGTTAGATAATTATGGTTCTAATTATTTGGGGAAGACTGGGTTGCTTGGGTTGATGTTCAACTCAAGGAGGACACTCAAGTGATGTTTTTAAATGTTCGACATATTGGTACTGGTGTGAATGTGCTACTGTCTGTTATATATGCTGCAAATACTGTGCAGGAAAGAAGAGATTTATGGTTGCACCTCAAAGACCAAGCTGCTGTGGCAGATAACCCTTGGATTGCTTTAGGGGACTGGAACATTTCTCGCTTTCATAGTGAAAAATTGGGGGTTTGAGAGTGCCTCAACATCTCCTTGATGAATTTAATCAAGTGATTCATGATATTCAAATGGAGGAGCTGCCTATTAACAATGGGGGATGGTCTTGGAGTAATAAACAAGAGTATCTTAGAAGAATCAATGTCAAGTTGGATAGAGCTCTTGTTAATGAAGCTTGGCTTCATAAGTTTACTGACACTAGAGTTCATTTGACAGCTGCTTCGCTGTCAGATCATTATGGGCTGGCAATAAATTGGCATTTAGATTGTGCTGTAGGGCCTAAACCTTTCAAATTTTTGAAAATTTGGTGCTTCCAACAAGAGGTTGAGAAATTGGTGGTGCAAGTATGGAATGAATCCGTTGGAGGAAATCCTTTACACACGCTGCAGAAGAAGCTTAGAGCTGTCAAACTTGCTGTTAGTGAATGGAATAAGAAGAAGGGTAAGGTGTCAGATCAGGTTCAAATTGTGACTGAGGAGTTGCATAAGGTTCAAATGGATTTGCTTAATGATCCATTGAATCATCCTTTGATTTCTAAGGAAAGGGATGCAAGTATGAAGTTGCAATCTACCTTGGATTTAGAAGAAATTCTGTGGTGTCAGAAATAAAGGATAAAATGGCTGAAAGAAAGGGACAAGTGTACTACTTATTTTCATAACATGGTCAAACAGCGAAGATGTTATAACTCCATAACTTGTTTGAAGCATCCTGATGGGACAATTTCTTCCGATCCTGAAGTAATTAAAGATTGGCTAGTTCATTTTTATGAAGATTTATATAATGCTACAGCTTCTGTTGTGACAGAGGTTACGCCTCCTAGGAAAGCTTTACAGATTGAAGAGTGTCAGGAGGTTGATAAAGAGGTTACAGCTGAGGAAATTAAAAGGGTTGTGATGGCTTTTAGTCCTGACAAAGCCCCTGGTCTGGATGGGTTCCCAGCCAGGTTTTTTCAGAAATATTGGCACATTGTAGGTACGGATGTGATCAGTGCTATTCTATTCTATTTCAATGCTGTGGTTATGCCTAGGGGGATTAATTCTACCTTTCTTGCCTTGATTCCAAAGCTAAATCATGGTGATAAATTAGAGAATTACAGACCTATTGCATTATGCAATTTCAGTTACAAAATAATTTCCAAAATTTTGGCAAATAGATTAAGAGCTGTCCTTCCAAATATTGTTGGGCTGGAGCAGTCTGCCTTTATCAAGGGAAGGAGAATCCATGATAATATCTTGTTGGTGACCGATGTGATTAAAAATTTTGGGTTAAAGACTACAGGCCTTGCTATGGCTTTAAAGGTTGATCTCAGGAAAGCGTACGATTCTGTTAGTTGGGATTTCATTCATAAAACTCTTCAGTTATATGGTTTTAGTGCAAAATGGATTGAATGGATTGTGAAGTGTGTTACTTCTTCTAAGTTTTCTGTCCTTTGCAATGGTGTTCCTACTGGCTATTTCTCAGCTGGGAGAGGGATTCGACAAGGCTGCCCTCTTTCTCCTCTTTTGTTTACTCTAATCACTGATCACTTTTCTACTCTTATGCATGAAAAATTTTTGGGAGGCCAGATTAAGTTATGTAATGTGGTTCAGAAAACTGATATGTTGGTCTCTCATGCTTTCTATGCTGATGACTTATTTATTATTGTGAAGGCTGATATTTCTACTGCAAAGCACATTGATGAGGTGCTGAAAAGGTTTCATGTTATCTCTGGGCTTGCTGTGAATAAAGACAAGAGTTCAGTAATCTTTTCCAAAGCTGTTAAGAGGAAAGAGAAGGCTGACACAGATTTTGCAAATGAAAACTGAATATTTTCCTATAAAGTACCTTGGTATTACCCTTGTAAACAGAGTCCTGAAGAGTGTGGATTGTAAGGGTTTATTTGACAAAGTTAATGCAAGGCTGGATCATTGGAATACTTTGAACTTATCTCTTGCCGGAAGAATTGAGCTCATCAGATCAGTTCTTTATTCTTTCCTTTATCATTGGGTTTTTGGATTCAAAGTACCATGGGGCTGTATCATTGCTTTGGAGAAAAAGTTTAAACAATTTTTGTGGAGTGGAAAAATGGATTCAAGAAAGATGTCTCAACTCAAATGGAGTCAAGTTACACTCCCTTATGCAGAAGGTGGGTTCAATCTTCGTAGAATTTCTGAGATTGATTTTGCAGCTAAGGTTTCTATATGTTGGGATTTTCTGAGAAACAAGGAGACTTTATGGGTGCAGTGGTTGCTTGCTAGATATTTATCACAACAGAATTTCTGGAGGGTATCACCAAAAGCTCAAGATTCAAGTATTTGGAAGCAAATTCTGAATACAAGAGATTTCATCCAAGAAAATGTGTTGTTCAAGATTGGAAATGGTGGGGGTTTTAATATGTTATTTGATACTTGGTATGCAGGTCTGTCTCTGGTTCAGAGATTTGGATTCAACTTATTTAGAAATTTTGATACACAAGCTAAAGCAGCCACACTCATCACTGATGGTGGATGGGTGTTTCCTCCTTTCTTTCCGGAGATTGCTGCAGATTTTGTTGCTAATATTACTTTGCAGGCTGGTAATGATGAGATCAGTTGGGTTCATGGTGAATTCAGTTTAAAGAATGCTTGGAAAGCTTGCAGGGCTAGAGGGCAAGTGGTCAGGTGGAATGGTCTGCGTTGCAAATATTGTAGACCTCGGATTGCTGTGGTTTTTGCAATCATTATGCATAACAAAAACTTGTCCTTTGTTAATCTACAGAGGCGGGGATTTCAGGGTCCATCAGTGTGTCACAATTGCTTCAAGGCAGAAGACACCAATAATCATTTATTTTGCACTTGTGAGTATGCTAAGCAAGTTTGGCAACAGGTTGTTCTTCGGTTCAATATTACTGATAGGAGTTTTCAGGAGCTCAACTTGTTTGTGGAATGGATAATTCAGAATACACAGGGTAAGGGAATCAGGTCTAAGTTGTTAAAGGGGCTGTTTGTGGTTTATGTTTGGAAGATTTGGATGGAGAGGAACTCAGCTTTACATCGTAACATCAAAGTCTCATCTGCCGCTGCTGCAAATGACATTGCTTGGGAAGTTTTACAATTCTTTTCTCTTGGCCTTGCTGATATTCTAGCCATTTTCAATGTGGTGTAATTTTCATTGCTGTTTATCAGTTTGTTTTTGTATTGGATTGGTTTCCAATTCATTCTCATTGTAAAGAGGGGTATGCCTCTCTATTGTACTTGTATTCTTATTTTATTTTCTTTTTATAAAATCAACCCATTCAGGAAAAGAAAAAAAAAAGAAAAAAGAAAAAAAATTATGGAAACTGATAATCTCAAGGGTTGCAGGTAATGCCTTGTTGCATTTGTCTGTCACATACCCATCAAAGAAAACCCAAAAATTAATATATCCATTATGCTCATGCCTTCATCTAATCAAAACAGTCATCGGAAATACTTTCTTAATTCAACATCTTCATTTGTAAAATGAAAAACAAGAACTTAAAAGGGAAACAAAAGGGAACAGTTAAAAAAACTAAAATGTCGAATGCATTTCAGATTTTTAGACTAAAGGAGAAGATTGAAACAATAATAACTAATAACTACAGAGATCTTCATGTACTTGCCTGCAGTTCCAGGAAGGGTCACAACATAGTTGTGCAAACGCAATTAAACTTGGATCAGATGAGAAAGTACTGACCAACTGATCAACTGTAAGTCCACCAGCTCCAATGCAATTATTGGTACTTGGTGTGCAGGCTCTCAGACTTGCCAAACCAAACACCTGGAACATGGACTTTTATTTCAACCAACTAATTGAATGGATTTGGGAAGGTTCAATACGGTAACATAAATGAGATCACAACCTTGTGCATCGCACGTGACAGCAGTGACTGACATCCTATGGGATCATCCACGTATGAACAAGCTCCAACTTTTCGTTTGATATAGAGAACACCAGAGTTAAATGGGTCATTCTTGTCTCCGGGACTCCACCAAGGTTTCTCTGTATAAGTATAACAGTTTGAATTTGCTGGAACATCTCATTAAATAAACACATAGCAGAAGTGGCATTCATTCTACCTTCAGGAACAAGATGTATGACCTGAGACCAGTACCGAGGACCACAGACACGGACAGTCTTTAACTGCAGCAGTATTTCAAACAGTGTGTTAAGTTTCAAAATTGTGTATATTATGAATCCTTGAGTGCAAAGTAACAGACAATATATTTTTTTTTCATCACATGATCAAATTAAACATGATAAAGGAAGCTGACAACAAACAGGAACTCTAGTTTATCTAACAGCTTTTTATTAGAATATGAGCTATATGGCACATTCCAGCATTCAACAATTCTCTTCATAATTAACACAATATTTTAAGCCCCTAAACATTGTATCAGTTCATGACGGAGTTAATATTGGAGGAATCTTTGATACTCTATATAAATTTTTTTGAGCATAATACAAGAAAATGAATTGAATGCATTTTGAGCACAAAAACAGAAGACCAAAACTTACAATGGCACGTTCTGGGAGAATGCAAGGGGTGACCTCACAGAAACTCGTCTCCCTATAGTGTTCAGTTTCCTTTATTGTAACTTCAAGAGGGGCATAAACTGGTAGACCTGTGTCAACGTCAATTGTTTGCATCCAGCGGGCTTCCGTTGCAAGGACATACAAATGCCGGAAAGCCTGCAAAACGTACCTCTTTCAGATAATTGAAAGCTAAAGAAATAAAATAACAGCTAACCAAGCAAAGGAACAATAAAGGACAGAAACCAGTTTGGTTGCAGTTTTCTGAAACATTTGAAACAAACCTTGTTTCCACATAACTGTCTTCTGTAGTTCTCTGAATGAGAACTGTTTTCTAAAAACTGAACCAAACACGCCCATAGCTTTCACATATGATGCACAAAAGGATATCAGTTTGAATAAGACTGAATAGGATAAACAAGGCCACTCACCATGATTTTTGGAAGGATCACATTTTACAGAAGTCAAAGAAGAAAAAGAAAAAAGATAAAGAAAATTGGGCACTGGTTGTAGAATTATTGGTCCTATCAATTTGAAAATGGGACCCACTTAATGATAGTTCTAAGGCCAATTGACTCTTCCCCAAGTTATTGAATTCCATATATTCTCAATTTCGCTCTGTGCTTTGCCTAAATGTAATAAGACCAGCTAATTCTGGATCTTGATGTACCTGAAGGTGGCATCGGTTGTCATTTGGTCCAGTGGGCAAGCGTGGATAAAGAGTTATCAGCAAAGCCGCAATAGAACTGTTGCTAGTTGAAAAAGTGCACATCCCACCACCAAGGAACAAGAAACCAATAGCTAAACTTACCTAAAACAAATGCAGTGGCGTCAACATTATCAACATTAAGATGTCAAAACCAGACAGAAATTGAATAGCTTATTTTTCACTAAATTTTAATTGTAAACTGTACAAGCCACATTGACTTTGAGGTGTATCATGGTTGATAGGGAATTTCATGCTAAGATTACAGCAAAGCTTACTGCCATTTGAGAACCATAATTTGCATGCCCATCTGCAGAGTTTCGACTGCGAAGAAATCTCAATAATCGAAAAGTTTGTAAATGCCCAGAACCTGCCATAACCTGCTCACCCACAATATTGGAGTCATACCTTTATTATTTAGAAATCAAGGGAAACAGAACTTATAATAATAATAATAAAAACCCACTAACCACAGACAAGGAAAGGACAATGAGGTGAAGGCATGTTTCCAATGTGCCCCGATCAACATGGTGGGACAATCCCTTCGGGAACGTACTTTCACTTGTAACAGAAACAAGCTTGATCTGCACACATTGAATGAATAATTTTCATCTACAAGGTGTGTGGAAATATATAAGTTGGGCAGCATCCCATGTGAAGGTCAGACCTCGTTCAAAAAGTAGACAGCATAGTCATAAAGCAACTCCTGTGCATTTCCGTTTCTTGTGCCAGCAAATCTCAAACCTGCCAAAATAAAAGTTAATAAGCCACATTACATTTAAGGAAAAAAAAAAGGGGGGGGATAAGAAGAAGAATTTAATAAGCCACATGATAAAAACTAAACAAAATGAGTAACCAGAAATTAGTGAATCCACATATCTAAAACAAAAATTGTTGTCCTCCAGAAGTTTCATCTGGACCAGGTAGAAGCAATGGTGCTCACAGGTAGGGATCACAAAACACCCTACCCCGTTGGGTACCTGCTCCCACTCTGACCTGTTTATATTGAGAATTTACCATTTTACCCTTACTATATATATGCCATAAAAACCCTAATCCCTTCACTTCCTCAAATCAGCCATCAGAGAGCTCAAGCTAGTCCCATAGCCAGTGCATCTCCTTCAGCCTCACAGCCTTCACCGTCACCGACCACCAATTGGTCTCTCCGTCAGCCTCACCTTCACCGCTGTGTATTTGATTAATAGCCTGCCCACTCTTGTGCTTGAGAATATTTCCCCGTATGAATCTTTATTTCATTCCTCTCCTTTATACACACTTGCATACATTTGGATGTCTTTGTTTTGTTCATCTCCCTTCCTGGAAAGAAACAAATTGTCCCAGCAAAGACCTTTTTCTTTGGCTTCACCCTTTGTATAGTTTTCAGGATGCATTCCCATTTTCAATTCTTTCTAATAGATTCTTCTTATCAAAAAAAAACAAAAAAGTCTTTAAAGTGCTAACAACTTAAGTCTTAAAAAATGACAAGAGATAAAATTTCGCAGTTTAATCTGTGACACTTCACAGATCTCACTTCAGAAAGTATCCCCCCACTTTCTCACAAATTTTGGAAGTCCAAGACAATTAAACAAAAACAAATAATTTTTTTCCCAAATCCAAAAATATATATAATTTGTTCTACTTATGGATGGTTTTCTGTCATCTATCAATCTATTCGCTTATCCTAACTTCCACAACTTTCTTGTGCACTTATTAGTTTACATAAATTATTCAAAGAATTTCATGTGTGCGTCCACATTTTCCCTTTTTAAAGCAGGCTTCTTAGAACTACTTGTTGAAATATCTGTATTACTATTATTTTTATTAGCTGTTTTCAGCCGTTCATTAGGTGTTTTATGTAAGATCCCTATTATCAAGGGATCACATGGATAAGATCCCCGTAATCACGGTATCACGTAAATTTTGGCATATTTCCTGTTTTTCTTTAATTTGGTTTCCTTTCTTTGTACCCTATTTTTGAATATAAATATAGCTCTTGGCTCTCAGAGTAAGCCAAAACCCAAAACTTCTTCTTTTTGGTATTAAAGCAAAACAAAAACATTCGCCTCCCAATCTTCCTCCCCAATGCCGCCACCTCTCTCCCTCTATCCATTTTCCCTCACCTCCGGCGCACCTCCATCTCCTCCCAGCCCTTGCACCGGACCCCTCGGGTAACCCTCTGTTTTTGACTCCTTTTTTAGGAGAATTCCCTTAGGTTTTTTATGACCTAAAGGTCCTTCTGGTGTTTTTTTTTTTTCTTTGTGGGCTGCCGGAGTTTGTTCGGCAGCATATTTGGAGAAAAGCGCCGATTTTTTCGGCCTTGTTTTTTTCTCTTTCCTCCTGCTTTGACGTGTGGACCAACCTTATTTTGGTACTATGACTAATTCTAGTAGCCAAAAGGACAGTTTATCCTCTGTCCAGCATACTTTATCTTCGGCACATCATACTCCGGCACAACAGGTTACCAGTGTGCTCTTGAATGGGCGCAACTTCGTATCTTGGTCCCGTTTTCTTCAACTCTATATTGGAGGGAAAGGGAAAACTAGTTGGCTTTTGGATCTAGTCAAGGAACCGAAAAGACAGATACTAAATATATTACACAGGACATGAACAAGTGCACCATTCTGGGTTCACCTCAATGGAGGAGCTGTATCAATAATATATTCATGTTTCACACTTCCGTTTTTCGTCTATGGCAAGCCTGATGTATGCCCATTCCCGCAATGACGCTTGTATCTTTGAATTCTATCAGGAGATTGTTCATGCATCTTAGGAGACACTCAAGCTGTCACTATCAGAGTATTTTGGGTAACTCCAGTCTAGGTGGGAAGAATTAGCACAGTATGAACCTCTCTCCGATTTCTCTGAAGATGGTGCAACTCTTTTGGTGGACCGCCAACATACCTACTAGTTTTTTATGATCCGAGTATGATGCTTATAGAACTCAGATCATAAACAACTCTCCTATGCCTGATTTATATGATTCCTTTACTACTGTTGACCATGAGGAGCATAGACGTCAAATCTCTCATCTAGTAGCTTTACTAGAGACTCCAATTGATCAGATGGCTCTTGCTGCTAATTCTAGACTTTTAGAGGGAAAGGTTATTTGTCAAAATTATGGAGCCACGGGTCATGTAAAGGATCGTTGCTTTAAGCTTCATCTTGAGCTAGAGCAGATATTTTCTCGCAATCATCCTTCTGGTCATGGTTACACTGCCGTAGTAGCCAATACTATTTGTGGGTATACTACTCCACAGATTGTTGTCCCACCTGCTTCAACTCCTCCCAAACCATCTTTTTAGGACTTCAACCAGTTACAGTCCAAGATTGGTCAGCTTCAGAAGCAGTTCGGAGCTTTATCTACCAGAGCTAGCTCTTCTATTCCCACGGCTACTATAGTTACAGGTACTCCTTCTGCTTTTAATGTTAAAGCGAGAAGACCTACTTGGGTTTTGGATTCCGAAGCCAATGATCACATAACTGGTGAGTTGTCATGACTATCTACTCCCTTTACCCCTGTTAATCAAATTGTTAGTCTCGCCGATGGGTCAACCACCATTATTCATAGTAAAGGAGATGTTCATCTATCCCCTGATATTATTTTGCTATTTGTTCTTCATATTCCTAACTTTGCATTTAATCTTCTATTTGTTTGTAAACTTGACAAATCACTAAATTGTGCAATAATTTTCTTTCCTCATTACTGTGTTTTACAGGACCTATGTTCGAAGAGGATTTTTGGTAGGGGATATGAGCATGATGGCCTCTACTACTTTAGGGATCCTCCACCGACACCTCCTCCACTTTCTTTAAGCCTTCAAGCCTTAATTCTTCCAGTTTCTAGGTCTTATGATTTTTCTTTTCAGACTTTAAATTTATGGCATGCTCGCCTTGGGCATGTAAACTTGGAGACCAAATCATAGCATATTCTAAAGCATATTCTATAGTACAATCAAATATCTGCTAATATGGTAAGTCATTCCATAAATCGTGGCTATCATATATGCTAACACTCCCCCTCAAGTTGGTGCGAGGATATCTGAAATGCACAACTTGGAATATGCATTCTCAAATACAATCTTGCTCACGCCCTTTATAAGAATGTTTACAAGTTGTTGGGAGCTTGTGACAAATGGAGTGCAAATTTGACCAGAGACGATCTTCTCTCGAATGAAGTGATGGTCCACCTCTATATGCCTAGTCCTGTCATGCTCAATGGAATTAGTTGTTATGCTAATGGCAGACTTGTTGTCACAGTATAGTGATAATGGAAGCGACACTGAAAGGCACAAGTCTGTCATCAAGGTTTTCAACCATAGCAACTCACATACCCAAAGAGCCATAGCCCTATACTTTGAATCTACATTAGATCGAGAGACAACATCCTGCTTCTTACTGCACCAAGTAACCAAGTTACCACCAATATTGGTACAATAACCCAAAGTTGACCTCCTATCTGAAATTGATCTTGCATAATCAGCATCTGTCTAAGCCTCAAAACGTAAGTGACCATGATTGGCAAAAAAAATACCACAACCCGGACACCCTTTCAAGTACCGAAGGATCTGAATAGTTGAATCAAGGTGAGGGGTACGAGGAGAGTGCATGAATTGACTCACGACACTCACAGCATGAGCTTCCCCGCAAGTCGTTGATACTGACCAACATCTAACAATAACTCCCCTTCAGAATCAGCCAACAGATGATTCTGCTCAATCACAGTATCAGCGGGACGAGCGCAAAGCTGACCAGAAGTAGAAAGCAAGTCAAGAACATACTCGCGTTGAGATATGAAATGCCAGCCTTGTAGCGAGCCACCTCAATGCCCAAAAAGTATCGTAGGGGACCAAGATAGCTCTTAACCTCAACAATTTCAATAGTATCATCTCCGGTAAGAACAATATCATCGATATACACAATGAGAGCAACTGTATTACCGCCTGAATAACGTAAACACAAGGTATGATTAGCTGCACTATGTTAGAAACCAAACTTGAGCATGGCAATGCCAAAGCAATCAAACCAAGCTCGAGGAAACTGCTTGAGGCCATACAGAGAACGACGAAGACGGCAGACCATACCAGAATGAGCAGGAGAACGAAAGCCCAGAGGAGGTACCATGTACACCTCCTCTGCAAATCACCACTGAGAAAGGCATTCTTGACATCTAACTGAATTAGAGGCCAAGATCGAATCACAACAACGGAAAATAATACACGGATGGTATTCATCTTGGCAACAGGGGCAAAAGTCTCCCAATAATCTATGCCCTAAGTCTGAGCATAACCTTTGGCAACCGGCCTTATAACAAGCAACTGACCCATCTAGATTATGCTTAATTGTAAACACCTAACCACAACCCACAACCTTTCGTCTAATAGGAAGCGGAACCATGTCCCAAGTCTGATTTTTCTTAAGTGCTTGTAGTTCTTCTGTAATAGCATCACGCCATTGAGGTTATGTTAGTGCATCTGCAACACTAGAAAAGGAACCGAGGCAATAGAAACAAGAAAACTCCGATAGAAGGGTGAGAGAGCACAATCAGAAACAAAATTAGAAATAGGGTATGTACAAGAACGCTTACCCTTTCGAAGAGCAATGGGGTTGATAGTGCATCTTGCCTCCTTTTTTGCTGATAACAGGATTGTCCATCAAACCTCTTTTGTCGATACACCACAACAGAACGGTGCAATTATAAGAAAACACTGTTATATAACAGAGGTCACCCGTTCTTTTCTAATTGG